AATAATTGTACATAGAGGTGTACATTGAGTGGAGTCCACTTCATTTTTAATTTTTGATAGGTCTCACTCAATGTGAGTGTTATGTATATGCATATGTACAATATTATCTACCTATATCATTTCCCATATATATTTATAATTTTCAAACTGAAATATCATATGACAAGAAATAACAAAATTAAAAGTATGGCATATGTTCGTAACACTCATATGAATTTTGGTTGAATATGGAACGATCCGTCTAACGACTAGACCGTCTCATACAATTGTTTGAGTTTTCGTTTGAGTATTTGAAACCTTTCACTATCTCCCTTACCAAAATACAAAAAACTTCTAAAATATCATCATCACTAGTTATAAAAGTAAACATTTGATGTCGATTCCCAATATTGCATCATTTTGAAACTTGAATTTTCAAAACCACACTTTAACCCGAACCCGATAGCCCGACCCGCAACTCGCAGATAAAAAACAAGTACACAAAAACTTCCTCGTTAGAAATCTTTTCGCACACACAAACCATCAACGAAGAGCTTTTCAAAAAGTCACTCTCCAAAAAAAAAAGCGAATCATCTCTGCGACGTCGTTTTAGGTGCTCCGGCGACCGGGAAATCCAATTCAATGGCAATCGCCGAGGAGAAAACGGACGGCAAAGTGTGGGGACTCTTCAAGCTCCCCTTCCGGAACTCCCAGTCGGCGGCGTCCGCCTCCTCGAATTTCTCTCACTACCAGCAGAATTACGGCCATGGGAACAGCAACGCTCATCCTCAGGTAGAGGGATCGGGTGCTCAGGGCGGAGCTGGAAGCTCGGTTTCCTCGGTGGCCAGATCTCTGCTCCCCACGCGCCGTCGTCTGAAGCTCGATCCTTCGAATAAGCTATATTTCCCTTGTACGAGCTTCTGTTGCCTTTTGACTGTGACGTTTTTTTTTTCTCTCTTTTCATGACTTGATTTGATGTTGCAGGGAGTTGGTTCCTACTGATTTCCATTTTGATTTGGATGGATAATTCATTTTATTTGATTGGGTTAAGATCGATCTTTTTTTTTTTCCTATTTTGAGGAGTATTTGAAATTCTGATTGCATTCCCCTTTTTCCTTTTCTTTCTTAAATCCGTTGTTGTGTACAGTTCTTTCTTGATTTGATATTTGTCGATTTTGTGGATCAATTATTAAGTTCTTCATACTTGATCGAGCTACTATGGAAAAACAAGGAAGTAGGAAAGAAAAAATGTTGTAGTAATTTTTTTACTTGAATTGCTAGATTTGATGTATGTGGATGGTTATGAGTATAATTGTTACTTCTTGAATTCATTTGATTTTCTAATTTGAGATATATAAGGTTAAGTAGTATAATAGCTATCTTTACATGAGCTGAATTAGGGAACACCAGAGAAGTCCCTTCTTTATCAAACTACATTTTCAACCAGCATTTTTTCATGTCCATGGAGGATATTAGTGGTTGTTATTATATATAGTTCTGAACTAGATACATCTTTTGCAAAAGAATGCTCTTTTTATCATTGGGTTTTCGTAAATACCACTTTTGTCTATTGCGACCAATCTAACGGCCGAAAGGACTGTTATTACTACCAAATGTGGCAATTTCGGAAGGGAAATTGAGAATTTCTCGCAAAGTTCCCTTTTCTTATTTGAATATTTTGACGTTCATACCCTAGAGTCTAGACATGTTTATAATTTGCTGAACCTGATTGCTGTTTCTTGTGTACTTATACCATTTCCTTTAACTGCTGTCAGATGAGCCTGGTAAGCAAGTCAGAAGTGCTATTAAAATAAAAAATACGAGCAAATCCCATGTGGCTTTCAAGGTATGCCAAGCACTTTGACTGTGTTCGTTTGATCTCCCTTTTCTCTTGCTATTCATTCATCTTTGGGGTTTAAGCTATAGATCGTTATGAGTAGAAAGTTCTAATTTGGTATTGTTTTTTATGAGTGATGTTGTTTATTATTGGTGTTATAGTTCCAAACAACTGCTCCTAAAAGCTGCTTTATGCGTCCTCCCGGCGCTATTCTTGCTCCTGGCGAGAGTATAATTGCAACTGGTAATCATTTGGCTATGTATTTATGAGTACAGAAGATGAGGATATTCATTCGTTTATTGATTAAATTGGATATTGTAATTCTTTTTATCCATCAGTATTCAAGTTTGTAGAGCCCCCAGAGAACAATGAGAAGCCGATGGACCAAAAAAGCCGTGATAAGTTCAAAATTATGAGCTTGAAAGTAACTGGGCCAATGGACTACATACCTGAAATGGTTTGTTACATTCTTCTGTTGTTTATAATATTGGTTGCTTAATAAAAAAAAAGCTTGTTAAATTCTTATTGCATTAAGATCTATTTCATTTTACTATGGCATAGTTCGATGACCATAAGGATCAAGTGGCTGTGGAGCAAATACTTCGTGTAGTCTTTCTGGATGTTGAGCATCCATGTCCTGTAAGTGAAATATTTTCGGGTCTCCAAAACTTTTGTGCATCAGCATTTTGTGCTCATGGAATGCCTCTCTCTATAAGAACACGCGAGTTTCCCTTGGAAGTAGTAATCAAACACCATTTTTCGTTTACTTTTGAAAGGCTCTGGAGAAACTAAATCGACAGCTGGCGGAGGCTGAGGCTGAACTCGAGTCCCGCAAGAAGCCTCCGGAGGACACGGGCCCAAAGTTCATCGGAGAAGGGCTCGTGATTGATGAATGGGTGGGGTTATCGTTTTCACATTACGTTGAGAAATTATAAGTTAACATCATTTTGATTTGATCTTTTAATATTCTCTTTTTTTTTTCCTTCTTGCAGAAAGAAAGACGAGAAAGATACCTAGCTCGACAACAAGGGGAAATGGTGGATTCTGTATGAGTAGAATTTTATTCGCAAACTGTCTTTCTAGTCTTGAAATTTCTGCACTGTACTCTGTATGAGTGTATTTAAATTGTTTTTTTAGAAGGTATTTCATGTGAAAGGTTCAGTAAAAAGGAGATAATGGTTGGACTCTTCTAAGTCAAATGTGACCGTTGCTAGTTGAATTTGTAACATGAGGTGTGCGTTAGCTTGTGGCCATACACTGTAGATATTTTGATTTTGTTTATGAAAAGAGATAATCTCTAATTTCTGTTTTGATTTAATTAAATGAAGGGTGAGGACTTGTTTGACTTTGGGCTAACTTTATATTTGGGGTCATGCCACAGTCACATGATATGATTCCGTACTTTAGAGCATCTCCAATGTATGAGTGTTAATGTTATAATGTCTATGCCACATGGCAATAATTAATTGCATTGTGTTTTTTTTATAATATTAATGTTGACATCGTATAATATGACAGTGTAAAACTATCTCCAATGCTTTCCTTATATGTGTACATTTATTAATTCGGAATAAATTTGTGAAAGAAAAACATAATTATGTAAGAAAATGTAATTAAATACAATTTTTTAAAATATAAAAATTGTAATTACATTCAATGTTATTTTTATGTACATGTATCGAGTAATACAAAATGGTTTAATTTTTGAAATATAAAAATTGTGTTATTTTTATGTATCAAGTAAATACAAAATGGTTTAATTTTTAAAATATAAAAATCATGTTATTTTTGTGTATCAAGTAAATACAAATTTTGACGCGTTAACGTAGTTTAATTTTTACAATATAAAAATTGTAATTACATTAAATGTTTTTTATGTGTATGTATCATGTAAATACAAAATGGTTTAATTTTTGTAATTATAAAAATCGTGTTATTTTTGTATATCAAGTGAATACAAATTTTGACACGGTAGTGTAATTTTTAAAATATAAAAATTGTAATTACATTCAATTTTATTTTTATGTCATGTAAATACAAAATAGTTTAATTTTTAAAATATAAAAATTGTGATATTTTTATGTATCAAGTAAATAATGGATTAATTTTTAAAATATATATCGTGTTAATTTCATGTATCAAATAAATACACACGTTTACTGTCGAATACACTGTTTGTCTTTAAACAATGCGCTTCACAATAATCCTTCCACGTCACAAAAATTTGGACCATGACATAGTCCATTGGAGAAAAAAATATGAAGACATTGTCTTCAATGATGACACTGACATTCTTTTTTTCCTCGCATTGGAGATGCTCTTATGAAAGCACCTCATGACTTAAGAATGTGGAGGTCGTGGTCATGATCTGGTGATGCCCCAAACAAGTTAGCTCGAGCGCAAAAGTATTACAACCCCAAGCAGTTAGCGTGGGTGCCAAAAGTTTTTAAGTAATAGATGACCGAGCAGATAACTCGAGTGTCAAACATTTTTAAGTTGCAGAACTCCGAGTAGGTAACTCGAAGGCCACAGGCCACATGGGCAAAAGAAGTGCAAAGTTGGCTCGAAAGACCTGATTGCACGCAAGATGTAGAACTCCGACATAGTAAGACCTTGAGCCTAGACAGGCTCAGGACCCCGTCGCCATAAACTTAGCTAAGGAAAGCTGACCAGGTTCTAGGCACAACAAAGTAGGGCTGATGTTTTTGACCAAATATTGAAAATCGAAAACCAAAACGACGACAAAATAAACCAAGCCGTGCTGATTCTATTATAACGGTAACCGATAGTGTTATCGGTTCGCTATCGGCTCCGAAACCATAAAGGTTCGGTTTTACCGAACCGAACCAATAAGGGATTAATATATATAATAATAATAATAATAATAATAATAATAATAATAATAATAATAATAATAATAACAACAACAACAACAACAACAACAACAACAACAACAACAACAACAACAACAACAACAACAACAATAATAATAATAATAATAATAATAATAATAATAATAATAATAATAATAATAATAATAATAATAATATATACCATTGCGAAAAAAAATACTCATATATCTATTCACTCTCCTTCAGTAATGTTCATCTACCAACGGTGGGCACATGTTAATATGTCCACCGCTTATGTGGCATGCATACATTGGTGATATTTTTTTTAACATATTAACATCACCAGTGTGTGCATGCCACATAAGCTTAATATGCCACCGTGGATAGGTGAGCATTATCCCACTCTCCTTTTTAACTTACCGTGTGCATATACATATTAACTATTTCACTCTCCTCTTTAAGTTATTAAATAAAGTTAATTTCACACAACACAATTCATACTCCATAGAAACTCAAACAAACTTCTGGTCTTCTTCAAACCGACGGATATTAAGGCTGCAAGGACCAACATCAACCAAAACCAATGGTGTTGCGGATAAGGTCGGAAAAGTTGGGAATCAGATGTAGGCTCGAAATTTGGCGAATTCGGCATCC